TCTTCAGTGATGACAATTTCAGGAAATGAATATTTGGAGGGCCGTTCTTGGTGAACGGAATTTACATCTAGCCGCCTGATATTGTCTTTATTGCCCCTAATAGTGGGGCCGCCTCCTGAGAAGCCACCTGCAATGGTGTAGACGAATGCATCATCTGTATCAGAGTTGTCGGCCTGTTGACTCTTTTTTGCCGACTGCTTTTTCGAGGAAGTGTTCCGCGTAGATTTCTTGACATAAGTGTCAAGATCGCCCTGCTCAGCCAGGCGGTCCAGATACCGCATGAGACTGATGCATTCGTTGGTGTGATGACCCACATCTTCATGATAATCACAGAATTTTTCCTGGTTCCGGTTGCTTGCAGAACCCTTCATGGGGACCGGCTTCTCAATTGAGATTCGTCCCTTGATTTCCTTTAGGATAGCTTGGCTATCCTTGTTAAACGCATACTTTGGGGAGTATGGTTTGAATTCTTTTTTCTTCTTCTGGGCCGGCTGTTTAGAGGAATCAGCCGCCCAAACCTCTTTTCTTTTCTTATCTTTGTTCGACAACTGTTTCTGTCGCCCTTCTTTTTTGTCGAACCTTTTCCCGTCCGACTGTTTTGTACTACAAAGATCAGTCGCCTGTATATAGGCTTCCGCTTCAATCAAGGCCTCTTGAAGAGTCGCCACCCTCTTTCGGACCAAATCAAATTTGAATGTCGATCCGTCTTTGAGGCCTCTGAAAAAGTCAGTATAGGCTACCTCATCCGGTAACCCTTGAATCTGTATTCTTATCAGGTTAAATCGCCTGATGTAAGAACGAAGCCCCTCCTTCTCGCCCTGCTGAATCGTTCCTAAATCAAGGGTCGTCTTCTTCGCAGGTATGTTCATGGCAAAGTTGGAGATGAATAAGTAAGCAAGCGTCCTGAAGTTATTCACACAACCAGTCGGCAGGTTGCCGAACCATTGTTGTGTGATTCCTTTGAGAGTCGCTGGGAAACACTTGCACCAAGTGGGATCATCCAACCCTTGAAGGTACATCAGGTTGGTGAATGCCATCAAATGGTCTTCTGGGTTAGTAGTGCCGTCATAGGCGCCTACTAATACATTTTTCACTTTGGCCGGCTGAGCGGCTTCAGCAATTTCCTTGGAGAAGGCTGACGGCTGTTCCCCAAGTCTAAGCAACCGTAGCTGCCAGTCCATAGGTTGGACATTCTTTGCTGCATGCCCACCAAACAGAGGTGGCTGCAAAAAATATTGTTGTTGCGGTACAAATGGTAAGTTTGGTACCGCCTGGTCACTATGAAAGCCGGACTGACGGGAGGTACCGCCTGACTGACTTTCATGATGCGACTGAGTATGCCTCATCGAGGTATTGCGCAGACTGTCTTGGAAGTTTGAAATAGAGGCAGACTCTGACAATCGCTCATTCTTTTTCTGCTCTAGCAATAGCCGAGCATCTGTGTATGTTTTCTTCAACCCGTCCGCCTGAATATGACGAACATGTTTCCTCTTTCCTTGAGTAGGAAAACGGTACTTTGTGAAATCAAGAACAGGCGGCTCCCACTTCCTAGAGTTAGGATGAGGGGTCGCCTCTCGCCCTTGAACTGGCTTCCTCTTCCCTGAAGTGGAAGGTTTCTTAGCCGATTGTTCCTTGGCCGGAGCAGGCTTCTTGTTGAGCAACTCTTGAATCTCTCCCTTGAAGCCCCTCATGAAGGTCATGAGTTCGTTCCTTGTAATGGGAGCAGACCCATCAGTCGGCTGCTGCTGAACAGGCGGTGCGCCTGCTGGATCACTGAGTCCAGTTTGAAGATGTTCCCGTTCCCTCCTTTCGGTATGACGGGTGCGTCGGGCCCTTAGGGTCCCGTCTGAAGCTGTGTGAGCTTCAACTTCACATTCATTCTCAGTATCATGGTCCGACTGAACTTGAGGATCGTCTAGGGGACGCCTCTCTTCAGGAGTCGGTACAGACGTGGATGCCATCTCAGAAGTACTCTCCCCACAGACGGCGCCAAGATGTTTCGGGGTTTTCTGGTGTCCTGCGGGAGAGTTACAATTCCGAGACTGGAACCGGACGCCTGTACCTGCAAAACTAACGGATGCTCCAGATGATTGGAGATCCGCCTCCGACGGTCAAGTTAGTACTTGATTAAGGAGTAATTAATGCGGAAATAAAAGTGATTGGGTCTCTCTAGGTGAGAGCGTTTAATGTGCGTAATCCCCCTTAATGAGGATTAAGGGAGGTATTTATAACCTTGGGAAACGTGCCAATCCTAGGTTTAGGTTAACCTAGGGCTGATTGGGCTTCCCTTGGAAGTTGGGCCTAGGTGGTCGGTTTCTCCATTAGGCATGGAGGATGCCACGTGTCATGACATAGTAGGTCCAGGGTGGACGAATAGGCGTGTGCCACGTGGCAAGCCCTGACAGTTCCAACTGGGGGACACTTGGCAGGACCTGATTGGCCCACGTGGCGCATTCCGATTGGTGGGAGCAAAATCCCCTAATCACATAGCATTTCTCGGTGATAGTCTACTCTGCTTGACTTTTGCATTAGGAGCCAACATCACTCTCTCTATTTATACAACATTCATAGAACTATTTGTTTTGTGCAACAATTAACAAGTGCTATTGATACACCATTCATAGAACTACTTTGTTTCATTAAAATCTAGAGAATGCAGCAACCTGCTAGAAAATAAGGACAATTGATAGTGTGGACATAAATTAGAGGTTTTTTAGAGAATGCTTCTATAACCTGCTAGAAAATAAGGACAATTGATAGTGTGGACATAAATTAGAGGTTTTTCAGAGAATGCTTCTATCTGGATCTTTTGATATCACAAAATCGAAGCAAGCCCATAAGTGCACCTAAGAAGCTAGTTAGTACCCAACAATTGAAGACCTTTTAAGGTCTCAGTGCTTTCCATGTCATTCATGATTTGTATTTCAAATTCAATCAAGCTTGAATGACATTCACATCACAAAACTTGTTGCTGAACTAACAATGCGTCAAAAAAAAACACAACCTAACAAATCTCTTAGATCAATTCACTCTCCTACTCGCTGCTAGTATCTAAAAAGATAATTAACCATCTAACCCATAAAACAATTTAGCTAATAAACCATTTAATAATTCAATAGCTTTTGTGATGTAATTAAACCATCTAACAAAAATCACAAACACTATCAAAAAATATCATACGAATTTCCCATCTAATAAAACTATATCACGTAATTTTATTAGAAATTGATAAACAACTTTATGAATTAATGCATATAGATTGTTTACAATTACATCAAATATGCAAATTTCTAAATTTTATATCAATGGAACCCAATTTTCCCTTATCAACACTAGTACACCCAATTAAAAACCTTAGAATTGTGAAAATAGTATCAAATAGAAAAAAATTAGAAACACCAAATTACTACTAACCTCTATGTCGATCTTGAAGATAGCAGAAATAATCCCTAAATTGTTGAATGATCAGCCCCCTTTTGCCCAGTCTTTGAAACAACAACGAAATTCACCAATTGATTGTAGTTTGAGATGTCAGTTAAGTGAGGATAGAGAAACGAAAAATTAGGGTTTAATTTGGGGAATTTTAGAACAGTGGGAAAATGAGGGAAACCAGCGCCTACTGAAAAATTTATCAAGAAAATAAACATCGAAAATTTTCATCAATTTTTAATAAACAGCGCCTACTGAAAATTTTATCGAAAAAATAAACATCGAAAATTTTCATCAGTTTTTAATAAACAGCGAAAATTTTCATCCCATATTATTCTTTATATATATTTATTTTTTTTATTAGGATAGTAAAATGTTGCCACATACCTTTTTTGACACGGTCATTAAAAAGTGTCGCCATATATTTTGTATAGCAACAGTTTTTAATAGACCGAGACTAATCACATTAATAAAATAAAAATTGTTGCAATATGTCTAGTTATAACAACGCTAACCAAACTGTTGCAAAAATTGTTGTTGCTATAGCCCTATTTTGTTGTAGTGACTCATACCTGTTTTGAATGGCATGAAGCCTGAAGGCCCTCCTTAAGATTGAAGCATTATTAAATTTATGCCTCAACTTCAGATAAATTAGGTTGTTAAAGTCCACAGCAACATTAAACCATGGAGCAGAGTCCTCTTCTTCATCAAATCCACACAAACTTCTTGATTCATCTGAATTACCATCAGTTTCTGGCTTGAGCTTAAGTGTTCCTACATCCATGTCATCCCTCATCTATTTCACTCCCTAAACCTTTCCTAAGACTTTTGTTCACCTTGTCCAAGATCTTCTTTAACCTTTCAAAAACCATTCTTCATCCCCTTCATCAAATTCCTCTTCACCAGGTTTCCAATCCAGGTCCTCATCACTCAAATCTGAACTGGAATACTCAGATCCATAACCTCCATCATCATACTCCTAATCAAATGTCAACGCTTTAGCCCTTGCTGGGGCTTTCCCTTTCAACTTAGCTTTCTCCTTTGCACTAGCAGACACTCCAACTTCTGCAACCTTCTCCTTCCCTTTCTTTGTGACAAATATCTCCCTAGGTGGACTTTCCTCCCTTTGTTCAGTTTCTTTCTTCTTAAACCTAGGGCTCCTCCTAGCACTGACAGTATAAGTACTTTGAACCTTCTTGTCCTTTTTATTTGCCCTTTGGTGGATTGGGTTGGGCCTCATTTATGGGCTTACACTAGGCGAAAATACGAATTCCCCACCGGTTCAAACCCCCCATTTCGCACGGGTTTTGACCGGGCCGGATTTGGGGGGTGCTAAAACCCCATAGATTTCGCACCGGTTCAAAACCAGTGGGAAAAATGACTTTTCGCACCGGTTCTAGGGGAGAACTGGTTCCAAAATCTACACTTTTTGCACCGATTTTTGCTTAGAACCGGTGCCAAAAGTCCCTAAAAAAAATTCAAAAAAAAACTTTTAACACCGGTTCTTTTCCAAAACCGGTGCCAAAAATGCCCAAAAAAAATTAAATTTTTTTTTTATTTTGCATTTTTTTCACTTAAATTGATATATAAACACTAACATATATATAAAGTTACAGAATTTTACTTCTAATACTCTAAAAACCTGTTCTAATGAACAGCAAACATCTAACTAAATTAAACAACCCAAACTAAGCAGCTCAACAGGCTACAAAAATAACAAAACACAGCGCAACACCAAAGCAGCAGAGCAAGCACATCAACTCAGCATCACATCACCCCACAGCAACACAGCACTACAAAAGGAAGCAAACAGCAACACCAACACAGCAGCGCATCACATCAACACAGGAAAACTCGACATCACAGCACAACAGACACAGCACAGTAGCAGAAACAGCAGCTCACGGCAACAGCAGCTGAGCAGACACAGCCTGACAGCTAACATCAAAAGAACAGAAACAACTACACAGGAGCATTGATCTTCAGCTGATACAACCATTTGCAATGATCCCTCTTCCACGAATTATCCATGGTGCTCCTATCCCTACAATGGCATAACCTGCCTACATGAAAGGAACAAAAAAATTTAGCTAACAAATCATATCCCTTATGATTAGGAAATTTGTAAACATATTCATTCTGAAACAACAAAAATAAATTGTTTATTGTTTCATCCAAAAATGGCCTCTCAAATAGTCTTGGATTAGTAGGGTAATGCTGCATAGATTAGGACCTATCCAACCATGCCTTAATAAAATTGATTTATGGTGTTTGCAATTGTTTCTTTAAGTGTAAATTCGAAGAAAGAAGCATTACCTACATTATTTTCTTAATGGTGTAACCTAATGTGTAAACAACACAAGGATTAGGGAAACTGGACATGCATCAGCATCCCAAAGTTTCTCCAATAACAACCTGCAATTGATGAATACAGATAAAGATAACTTGAAAGAGGCCACCAGAATGCATAGACTAGAGGCTTTATAAGTCCTTAACATCACCCCCCCCCACCCCCCCCCCCCACCCCCCCCCCTACCACCACGCCCACCGGAAAACTAAGGCAAAAAAATCAGTACATTGACCACACTGGATTATGGATTAATATTGGGGCAAGCTAGATCTAATGAGGGCAGGAGTAGGCTGACAAGGCTCTTGTCTTTCTCCTTACATTCTTCAAATCCCACATGGGATCAAAGGCTTACTAATGCAAAACCCTAATTAGCAACTACAATAGGTGGAAAAACCATTATATAAGCTTTTTTATGCAGTCCTGAACTCTTGCTGAAGAGCAAGATGCTTTCATCCTTTACCTCAATTGTTCAGCAGTTGATGCTATTCCGATAGCGGGCTTTTGAATCTTGACAAAGATTAAGACAATGATTAAAATATAAAACCATCCCTCTACATAAAAAACTATGCTAAAGAATTTGATCGCTCATAACTAATTATGACTGAGCAGGCTATTATCTGTGATTTCATCACAGTTAGCTCATATAAGAAATTTATTGAATTATTATATGGATAAATGGTGTGATGCTCACACAGCTTGTCAAAGTTAAGACGAATAAGTAGGGAACCTGAGAGTAGAGTTGGCAAATCTATTTTTTCTAGCAAGTGAATACAGTTAACATAATAGCTTAACTTTAGATTGAAGGCAATGCCCAATTCACAGTAGCAGTTTAGTTCAACCAAAAGTTACTACGAAAATGTAGGCATATAGCTTGATACTGTTAGAATAAGAGTCACACTGCCACCATAAAGAAGGCATACAATTCTAAGCTCGAGCAACAATTTTTAGAACAACAACCACGGGTATAAAGTATATAAACAACTGGTAAGCTAGTACCAAAGGTGATAGGACTTAAAATGGTCAATATTCACTGAGAAAATCTACTACACTGAACTGCCTTTGATTTCTAAGGTACTAACATGGACATTTTAACATTCAGTTTACCATAGAAACACTCAATATGCTGCCATTGGTTTTTCGATATACAGCTTGCACCTACATACTACATAGGCTTTCATCCGACGGAAGAGGTTATTTTTCAGGCGATCATCCACATTCCCCTGTTTAAGAATAGTAATATAACTACTCAAGATGCAAACTACCGCTAATAATACACCTATTTTCTTATATTAATGACCTAGATGCATTTTATTGTAGCGATACTCAAACAATGCATCTGAAAGAAGTTAATTTCAACATGCTTGCTTGGAAGTTGAGACTTGAAGGACCTCCCTGCCATATATTTCAAAGGAGACCAAAGAGAACATCCTCTTTTCCCTCCCTAGTACGAATATGAGACGATTCTATCTTAATGTAATTGTCCACCACCTATTACTTTCTCACACCTATAGTCCAAAGCAGCTAATAGTATCGTACCAATTTTAATTTCTTAACAAATAAGTTGGACACATGAGTAACAATCAAAAGGACTATCCTACAAGCACCAAGCAATGAAATCCAATAATCTAGTACAGAAGCCAATTAAGACAAGGGATATTGTAAGACTCTACAAGCAAAGAAGTATGAAAATATGGGGATCATCAAATATTAGTAAAAACTTACATTTAGAATAATAAAAGGTTCTGGCAATGGGCACTGGACGGGTTTATCATAGTCAAGAGGCTCAACTGGATGTTCAGCAGGTTTAAATTCTATACCTACATCTATACCATCAGCAAGAGGCTGTGCAACCTCAGCCACCGTGTCCTTCTGGAATCGGGGCTGAGACCTCCCTTGCATCCTGTGTCCATTCAGAATCAGCAATCAACAGGCATCGAACTTACGACAATGAACTACAAGCAGCATGAACTTGAAGAGCAATACCAATAACAATGAAGCACACCAATCCTTGGCAAAAACACACCAAAAGCAAGTTTTAGACATGATTAAAGACAACCCAATAAAGATTTTGGACACAATTTCGGATACTATGTGACTCAATGATCTTAAAGGACAATGCAATAAGATACATGACTAAACCTGGTTATATTTCTCCAGAAAACTCAAGACAACAGAAACCAAGCAAACTGACCAATTATGTCAACAATGAACCTTACAAAAACCCAGGTAAATAAAGGATGAATATTGCCCAAAATCAAAAATTCTCAACTACCTAATTCACGCCTAGATCTAAGGAAGCCAATAAGAAAGTCAGATAAAAAAGGAAACATACAAAATCTGACCAAATCAACCACAATAAGAAAATCCCACAAAATCAACTTTAAATAGTCAAACAAAACAGTAAAAACAAAGAACAAAATCATCTAAACACAGAAGTAAAATAGACAGTTCACCTATTCAAATCTTATTAGGTTACTTACCACACAAAGTATTCATACAAAATAGCCAAATGATCAAAACTTATCCCAAATTCGTAGAACATTCCAAAACCAAACCATCGATTACTTTGAATTGACTCATCACAGCCTCATTAATTTGTATAAGAGGATGTCACATGCTCCTAATCTCTTTCTTTAAAATCCATTGAAATGTAAGAAAGGACTTATCTGTAATTAATATATATATATATAAATAAAAAAATAAAAAAAAAGGACTTAATATAGAACCTTAGAGCTCAGTTTATTCCAAATAGACGAAAACAGAAAATGTCTTTCAATAAACAGTAGACCCAAGAAATCCAATTTTTCATTTTAAAAATCTCGGAACTCAACTCACAAATAAAAACCCATACAAACAACATGAAGCTTAATCGACTGATAACAAACAAAGAAATTTCGCCTAAACAAATGGCAGAAAAAATCACCAAATTAATTTAAATTCAAAAACATATATTCAATTATTCATACCTGAATTCATAAGCACCATTAAAGTGCTTTTCAGAGTACCTCAAAAACAAATCCCTCCTCCTCCGGCCCGTTGTCTATGCGATGATGGTTCTGAAGAATCCAAATTCTGAAACTATAATATCAATAATTGCTTCATTTGCAACTTTAATTCATCAACAACATAAAAAATCAACCCAAAAAAAGATAAATCACTCAAATTCAACACAAAAAAAAAAAATAAATAAATCCTCAAAATCAAATAAACCCCAAAAAATTGCAAAATTACAACAAAAAAAACAAAAAATAAATAGAACAAAGAAACCCCAAAAAAAATCGAAAACCAATCGAACAAGTAAACCCAAAAAATCGAACACAAATCGATCAAATAAACCCCATTAAAACGAAATGATTTCGCACAAATACACCCACAAAGATTCAACCCAAAAAATTCGAAAACACATCAAACATATCGAAAACAACAGGAACATATATGCAAAAATCCACGACAATCAAACAATTAAACCCCAAAAGTTTGAAACTAAATCGAGAAAACAAAAAAATCGAAAACCAATCGAACAAATAAACCCAAAAAATCGAACACAAATCGATCAAATAAACCCCATTAAAAACGAAACGATTTCGCACAAAAATACACCCACAAAGATTCAACCCAAAAAAATCGAAAACACATCGAACATATTGAAAACAACAGGAACATAAAACTGATTCAACCAAAAGAAATTGAAAAAATAAATTTCAAATTAAACAAAACCCTAAAAGCCCAACTAAAAAAAATTAAGAGCGTACCTCAAAAGCTGCTTCATAGAGGAGGAGAGAGAGCTAAGAAGGCACTTCAATGGAGGATTTAGATCGCACTTCAATCGTTCACCACTTGCTTTAACTCGAACAAGATTCGAACGAAAATCGAAGACCTCACAGTACACGAGAGATGAAAGAAGAACGAGATGGGAACGAAAGAGGAAGGAGAGATGAGGGCAGAACCAAAGATGAGAGAGAAGGAGGGCAGAACCAGGGAAAGAATGAAATAAAGAGGCGGATTAGAGAGATATAGCAGCCCGGTTTTTTTTTTTTTAATTTCGCACCGGTTTGAATCGGTGCTAAAACACTATTTCGCACCAGTTTGGACTAAACCGATGCGAAATCCCTTCCACCCTTTTTTTTTTTATTTTTTTATAATATTTCGTAATTCGCACCGATTTGAACCGGTGCGAAAAAATTAATTTCGCATCGGTTTATTAGGAACCGGTGCGAAAAGTATTTTCCCCAATCCCGCCCATTTCTTTTCCTACCGGTGCGAAAAGTGCGCTGCGTAATTCATTTTTTCTACTAGTGTTAATAGGAGCTTGTGCCGTTACAAAGACTTCAACATACCCATCTGCATTTACTGTATGTAAAAGGCCCTTCACTTCTTCACTGTTAACTAGTTCCCTTTTCCCAGTGTTAAAGGTTTTCCCCTTCTGCCTATACCAATAGTTGTAATAAATAGGCACAGGCATATCACCATTAACAAGTCCATGAACTGCAGCTGTTCTAATAAAATGCACATCCAACTTAGATACTTGAACTTTCCTTCTCCAATAACACCACCCACCACACCAACAAAGCAGCTGCTTATCTTTGCTAACTCTTTTAGGGATAAAAGCACCTCCCACTCTAAGACATATGTCAACCATACCGTCATTGTCACCCATTATCTACCCACCAGTAAAATAGAGATAATAAATATTAAAAGCCATTTAATATTTCAACAATGTATCAATACAATCAAATTATGAATAAGCAAAACAAACCCAATTTTCAAACATACACTACAAAGCACCAATTCCAACATTTATGCATAAACAAATGAAACCCAATTCAGGTACTCAATTACATAAATTAATCAACAAATCACACACGCACAGTTAACAATAGCTTAATTAACAATAACTCACTTTAATTAATCTTTAATTTGGATTAAATATTCCACTTAACCTAAGTCGCATAGTCAATCTATAACATTGAATTTTTTAGGGTTTCCTGCTTTGTTACCAAAAGTGACCCTAATTTAACCTAAAATTGCAATTTTGACATTAATGAAGCACCGCAAATAGACGCAATTGCTGTAAAAAGATTAAAAAAAGAAACCTTCTTTGGAATCTTTCCCCTGTATTTGTCAGATTTTCAGCAACCTTCACCCTTTTTTAGTTGATGAAGATGGGTGACGAAACCCTGCTGAGTTGTTCTTCTGCAATGTTGACAGCTCTCTTCTACACTCCACTCCTCAACCACACAATTTAGGTTAAATTGTTTGCCCTTGATGAAGATTTTTTTTGGGTAGATGAAGATTCAAAGAGAATTCAATGAAGATGATTGGTAAGTATTCAATGAAGGTAGAAGAAACGTGTTTTGCTGGGTGAAAATTGGAGGTAAAACCAAATCCTAGGACCCAAGTCAATTTTTCGTTACAAAAAACGTTTACCGGTGGTAACTTCAATTTTTAAATTTTTTATGTGGTGTTAATTTTTTTTTTTTTTTTTTTGGGTGTTAAAAACCATTTTTAGTTTTTTTCTGGTGTTAAAATTCAAAATTTCCTAGTTAATATGGATGTTTTTTTTGTCAGATAAATTAGTATAGTAGGTAACAAAAAATACTAATACATTTTTCTTTTTCAAAAGAAGCTCGCGGGCCACTCTTGGACGAGTCCATTTGCCGACACTACCTAACCTTCAAGGCCCATGGGCCTGTGTCGTGCTTATGCCTTACTTTTCAAAATTTGAGCTTGCGTAGCCCAACTCATGTAGGCTTAGCTCACAACCCAGCCCAAAGCCATTGTACGTTATCTCCAATTGTCGATAAGAAGACGCAAATCTGTAATGATATGATCAATTTATAATTGAGTTGATAACAATGAGATTGTCACGTTCAATATGGATGTTTATGATGTCTAAGTATGCTATAAGTTTAGTCATATTGTATTGCACCGTATCCGACTTCCAAATTCTAAAAATTGTATTATAAATTAACAAACAGTAGAAAACTACTAACAAATAACACAAAATGAACACACCCCAATACAAATTAAACATATTTGAGTTCGAAAGTAGTAAAAGCATAATTAAAAGATATTTAAGATGTTAAGATTTTATTAATTATTTCATATCTATTAACCTATACTAAAAGCAAATCCTTCCATGACACTTGTCATTACCTTGTAAAAAAATTTCCCGTCTTTTTCGCTTTTTTTTTTTTTTTTTTTTTTGGCAAAATCTTTAAGTAAATTATTTTTACCTTATGATATTTTCTTTCCACTTTGACAATCATATTCCATATATACCCAAATGAAATATCTTTGAATATCTTTTATATATACTTTATATTTTGTAATATTATTGTCAATAATATTTAACAACCATTGCACGGGATTTTAACCTAGTAAGGTAATATATTACAATAATGTACTACTCCCGTATACCAGGATTGACACTTTAGCTTTTATTATGCATATTTGTTGATTTATTTAAAATAATAACACAACAATTCAATAACTATAAATATAAAATAAAAATAAAAATAACCTTGATTATTAATTGTCACAAAAAATAAGTCAATTAAATTTGTATAAAATATTTTGCCGGTCAAATTAAGTATGCTATAAAACATTGTGCCAGTTAAAGCATGCTAACAAAATAGGGAGTTATGGGGTATATAGTTACATTGCACGGATTATAATTAACATAAAATCTTATTCTTATATAAAACCCTATAATCATTAAATTTGCATTTTAAAAAAACCAAATGTTTAATGATCAATAACTTTTTATTTCGATATAATATAAAGTTCAAGTTAATTTTTTCTGAAAAGAAATTCAAGTATTTGTTTCAATTAAAAATATTGAGTTTTTAGAAAATTATTGTTAAATTGACATTGTAATTCATAATTAGGTTAAATAAAAATTATGTATTGCACGGGACTTAAACTAGTTGGTCATAAACTCAAACTCTTTAATAATGAGCCCATATGTGTGTGCGCCGCTGACAATTATTTATACTCTAATCAATATCGTTAAAATCGCGATCTAGATCATAACTTGGGATCCTACGATCCAATTGTAGTTTAACGATTTGGATTAGAAGCGGAATTGCATAGCAATCAGGGTCTTTGTAAGATCAGCCTAAATAATATAGGATCAAATGATTTTTATATTCACTTAAATCGTTATTGAATTGGTCAGAATCGTAAAGAAATCAATCTAGATCGTTCAGAATTGTACAAGATCATGTCAGATCAATCCTACTTTTTACTAATTAATAATGACCCCAAAGCAATAACCTTATCTCTAAGCTAAAAAAAGATAACTAAATTACTTCCACTATAAATTCAGTATTATTTTATTGCTTTCCTCTAAAAAAAATTCATTGCTTGAAAACTGTGTTTCCAGTTATATAGTGACAATATTATCACTACTTTTATCAATTTAATAGGATCCTAGGATTATATTCCGATTTTACCAATTCGATCTTACTTGTTTCGGGTGTTTTTGGTTCCTCGGGAGAGTTACAATACGGAGTATGCGCGCCTGACTTCTGTACCTGCAAAATCACGAAACTCCGGTTGGGTGGAGTTCTGCCTCCGACGATCAAGTTAGTATGATTACGGATGGGTTAATGTGCGGAAAGTAAATAGGTATTTCTCCCTGATTCAATAGACCTTCAGCCGGTTTTTCACCGTTTGGGGTATCTTCAAGCAATCTCATTGCGAGTTGCATTCAATAGACCCTCAGTCGGATTTCCACCGTCTGGGGTATCTTCAAGAAATCTCACTGTGAGTTGCATTCAATAGACCCTCAGCCGGTTTTCCACCGTCTGGGTATCTTAAATAAAACTTTCTTTGGAAATGCTTCACTGTTCCCTCAGCCGGTCTTACACCGTCTGGGATATGTGCAAGCAATTCCCTTCTGAGCTGCTTTGCTGACGTCCCAACCGGCATTATACCGCCTGGGGTATTTGCGAACAGCCTCTTGATTTTTTTTTTTTGTATCGGATGCCCAACTGGCTTTCTGCCGCCTGTGATAGTTCCGTCAATGTTCTACATTATTGTCTATAATGGTCCTCAGCCGGTGTACACCATCTGGGGGGTCTTTGGACAACCTTTCATAAAATCTCCAGACTACTTGCTCTGCATGCCTAACACAGCCGGCTTTTTCCGCCTGCGGTGTCTTTGGGCAACATTGGTAATTAACCTTGCTTTCTTTTGCCAATTTGCAGTCTGCTCAAAGTGATACCGTCTGGGGTATCTTTGGTCAACAATCTCAACTTCTTTTACCATCTTCTTTCAACTACAAGGTAATGCCTTCGTTCCTCGCTTTTTTGGAGGTTGTTTTTAAATTTCCCCGGCTGTATATATTGTTAGAATAATGGCCTTACCCAACACACACACAGCACACCACGATTTAGAGGTCAGCCGGTCTCCTGGTACGGCTGAGTCTAGGACTGGGGGTGCCGCCTCTAAGTACTGGGACTCTCCTTGTTCATCTCCAAAACCGACCGTCTTTGTCTCTGTGCAGGATGCAATGGCTCGAACTAGGAAAACAGCCGTTGATCAAGAGTACAGAGGGGAAACCTCTGAAGAAATGTCGCTTGACTCTAATCAGGCTGAGATGACAAGGGGATCACCGCATGGCACCCCAAGCACTCCCAGTGATGGAATACTGGGGTTGGATCAGGAAGGTGGTGAAGATGCCGCCTCTCCTTTCAGGGTTGAACAGGAAAACCCGTCAAAGAACACGAGCGGTGAAGAAGCCGCCTCCTCATCCAGCTCAGAACAAAGTGGCAGCAGCAGCAGCCTTCTCAAGCCGGATGCTGATAGCGAGGAGGAGGAGAGGCCCACATGGAACAATAAGGGCGACCCTTTCCTTATCGCCGTCTCTGCAAGGGATAGGGCCAGTATGGCCGGAAACTTAGAAAACTTTGTAAAAATTCGTCCCCTTGGAGAGGATTGGAAAATAATTGTGCCGCCTGAGATGGGCACTATAGTCTGGGAAGATAATTAGCCGAATTCAAACGGGTATTTTGGCTATTACGAGGCGACATTTCTAGCCGGTCTCCGCTTCCCATTGCACGACACCATAAAGGCCATCCTTCGAGGATATGGTCTGGGTATTTGGCAGTTAATCCCCAATTCATGGGTTAACATTTTAGGCTATATCTCCGCCTGCGAGATGCAAAACATCAACCCCGGCTGGGAGGCCTTT